TATATATATATATATGTGTGTGTGTGTGTGTGTGTATTAAATATGTCTGAGATGGGTTTATTCAGGATTGAAAATGATCACTTCCCCTTGGATAATTTCTTGGCATTAAGTTCTGTGTTGGTTGTGTATAAGAATTTTGAAAAGGTGAGATAACAAAAATAAGACTAAATTGCATCATAAATCCTAAATAACCTCTTCTGTGGTTTAGAGATTTGTAACACTTCCCTTCAGTTGCTTTATTAAGGATGTTTTCTCCTTAGTATCTTGATAATTATGTTGACAGATTCTAAGCTATTACTAACTCCATTTACCTTGTACCTGAACACTTAAGGCTTTTGTCATTCTGATTTGTTCAGTATGTATAGAAAGCCAAGAAAAATTTGCTTAATTTAGGAAGCTAAGTAAATGAAACATTTGTTTAATTTGTATAAGCACCTTAAAAATTAGTACAGTGGAATTTAGAGTGTCTGTTTTAGCCATTAATCCCAATAATAAATGCAGATTGCATGTAATTCAGTTGATAACTAGGTGAGTTACTTATCCTGTTCATTTAACTTGCCCCAGATGAGTGGTTTACAAAACCTAACTGTTAATTAGAATCACCTGGAGCAGGTATAGCACACCAGGCCCTAAACCAGATCAGTTATATGCAAGGTTTTCAGAAAGTTCATAGGAAATATGTATTATAAAACAAAACTACTCATGGATTGTACAATTTTTTTGTACCAAAATAAACTTTTACTTTGATTCCATTTTGCCACAATCTTTTCAAAATCCCGCTTTCTGTGGAACCCAGACATTAGTTCTTTAAAATAATTTTCTCAGTTAATTTTTTTTCTGCTCAGTATTTCTCTCTCTTTCTCATTTAATTGCCAGAAGGTGCATGCACTTACCAGAGAGAGATTAAAAAAAAGAGAGAGAGAGAGAGAAAGCCCCTCCTCAGTAGGGGTAAGGTTAATGCTGCAATCCCTTTCCTCTCTTTCTCTCCTGTGAGTATTTGGGCATGTGTGTGCACACAACTGGTGTGTTTTTCAAGCCACCAGGGCTGGGATTCAAACCACAGTCAGCCATGTGGGATCTGGCTCCCTATACATAGAATTTGACCATTATGCTCTGGGGCTGGCCCTTTAGTATGACTTTCTAAAAGTTAAGAATTAAAAAACAAAACAAAGCCCAGGTGGATGGGTCAGCATGACTGACTGCAGTTTGAATTCTAAGCTCCACAACTTGAAAAACTCACCAGGCATGTGTGTGTGCATGCCCAAAATACCCAAAAAGTAGTGGAGATGTGATTGCTGGGTAACCATTCTCCATTGGGGGTGGGGGGAGGGTGGTGATTTCTCATTTTATTTCTCTCTTTTTCTGTCTTCAGTGAGCACATGTAACCTCTGACAAATTAAGTAAATAAATAATAACACCCCCCTAGAATATACGTATCTAGAAAAATTAAAAGAAATTCCTTCATGTCATCAAACAGTATTTACATTTTTCTGAATGTTTCCATTAAAAACAAAACAAAAACAGATTGTTCACAACAGGGGCTATATAAGGTCTGTACATTCTGCTGGTTCATAAGTGTCTTATAAAACTTTAAAATCTATAAGTTCCTCTCTCCATCTCATTTTTTTCCTTAT